GTAGCGTAAATTAAATGTAAAAGGGTAATGCAATATTATGCGATACATATTTAGTTTTCCACGTTATCAAATTTTATATCAAAAAATATTTTACCGCGCTTTATATTTATATCGATTTGGCTTTAATAATTAATTTAACTTAATTTGCATATCATACACGCTTATCGATACTTAATGTTTGGAGACTATGCTGTTTTACACATGGTACATTGTGTTGCAACCTGCATTAATGTAATAACACGAGAAATGACGTGACAATGATCATTTTGTCAAATTGATCTTGCACATCAGCAGGGACCAAACCTCGCGATCGAACATAATTAATTTTGATTGATTTAATTACACATGTGCCCGTAGAGTTAAGCATCTACGGAATATGCTAATTGCATCGCGATGCAATTGTCGTACTTTTGTTACATTTTACGCTTTGTAAAAATGTAACAATACAAAAGGAACAAATCTTTCTTTACTAATTTGCGGATTAGCTTATCTGTATCGTCGTACATTTGCACGGCTCGTACATTTGTATGCATAAAGTTGTATACGACGAAACTTCGTCGTTGCACGCAAGTGACTATGCGCATACCCGATGACAAGCTGTTTCATTATCTTGAATCAGCGAATTGTTCCTACATCACCGATGCGGCGAACGTATAGCTGCTTCATCTGCAATTTGCACGAGGCAATGCCACTCGACGCTTCGCTGTCAAGCTAATCGTAAGCCTTATCATAATTGCAGATGCGGGACCCGCCAGACGCGATGCATAACTGCATCGAGGGCGAGATATGTAGAAGTTGCGGCATAATCGCGTTAATTACTCTATATAGCGAGAATGGAATTTATTTTGAGAAAAGAAAATTTGTCACGACACCGATGCATTCTCCCAATTTTCACGCTTTTGCAATATTTTCGACATATATCTCCTTTATCTCTTCATATATTTCCTTGTTTTACGCTTTTTATATTTTATATTCTAGCGATGTAAAGTTCGGGCGAGAGAGTTTACTGATTGCTCCTGTCTCGAATAAGTTTGCGCCATGACATTATAAATTTCAAAGCAGCGGAGCGATACGATAAGGAGAGCAACGATATATGAGCGCATATATTTTTAGATTTGCTATCTTGTTCGTTGCAACCATGAGCTATGATGATTTATAAGGCGATTTTCACGGGCGATATCTATTATATTTTTTGATTTGGTTAGAATAATAGAATATCAAAGTTGTGCTTATGAGCGCAACTAATGGATCTCTTGTAGCTCATCAAGATTGATTATGTATTCGTCACGACATCATCTACCAACCGTGAAAGATACATGAGATTCTTTTGCCTTTATTTCTCGGCTCTCGTAGAGATGTTCTGGATGATGTAGCTACTAGAAATTTGCACAGCGAATTATTAATTAATATCATTTCCATAGATTTTAACACGCTTTATCTCTTGCAGTGATATTGAAACGCATCAATATTTGAAATTTCAGAACTATAAATATACTCGAATCAAATTATTTATTCGATATAGTCGCATCATTTCGACGCATCGTGCAAATTTAATACAGTAGAAAAAGACGGTACACATGTTGTACACGATAAAATTCTCTTATATTCATCCACGTATATTTCTAAAAGTTTTTATGGGTCATATATAAGACCTGTGCAAGTTTTAACTATGCTACGTCACCAACTATGTTAAATATGCTATGTTACATAAAGTTACAAGGAGGGAAGCTAAATATTAATTTTTTTTATGAAAATAATTACACAACATCTATATTCATTTTGATCAAAACTGAAGTAGAGCACGACAAAATGTGAAGAACATTGAATTCTTTTTCGTATGTACCTATAAAAATCAATATTCCAATAAAAATGTAGATATGTTGCAGGCTTTTTGTAAAATCAGCCTTTCTACGAAAAGGCTCTGTTATAAAGCGCCAAATCTTTGTAAATCGGCTCTTTTACAAAAAGCCTAGGCTTGAGAACTTACAAAGAGAGAGCCTGTGACAGAGATATAAAAGTAAATATTTCAAAAACTGCGAAAAGCTGTAGTTAGACATAAAAGCTCGATTATCCGAGAGTTCTTTGTATTCACAGTAAGATAGAATCCGGGCTGTTCCAATTCAAACTTACGCATCTCAAAAGCGCGATTCGCATAACTAAATGTAAAATCCGTCAAACTTATTCTACTATTTACCGCCTTCTGAACAACTACTTTTTTTTAATTGGAGCATCTTATTTTTCGCGCCGCTCGTTGATTGAATTTAACCGAAAAAAAGACAGAAGAGATTCACGCGAGAAAACGATTGTCCCCGTTCTTGTCGCGCATCGCTGGGAGCTAATTCATCCCCGTGGTAACCCGCGGGGCGTGCGATTTGCCGCCGCGGCGAAGTTTTCTATTCCCGCCGGCTGCGGCCAACAGGAGAGCCGTGTCCCAATGCAATTAAGATAAGCTCGCCCGCGCGATGTTTATAAATATTTTCGGGCATTTTCGAAATATAGCCGGCGGGTTACGAGCGCCGTGGTTCCCGTATCTGAACGTCGGGTATCCGCAGCGTGACCAGCCGCAGGGGCTACAATCCCTCGCGAACTTTCACGTAGAACGACGGTGGCGCGTTCCATTCTCGGCCTTCATCTCGGTCTCTCTCTTTCTCTCTCTCTCTCTCTCTCTCTTTCTGTCCGGGTCGAGCTTTTTACGTGAATTTATCTGCGGGTTAGGTTGGGAAACGCTCTACGTGCGAATGAGACGTACTGCGGTGCCAGAGATAATCGTGCGATCTCTGGACGCGCGTGCGACGTGCCGCATGAAAAATTACAAGTGCGCGTCTGTTACCTCCTCGTTTTCTCATCTGCACGACGTGACTCTTCGCAGAGCGAAACCGCCGCCGCATGCCGCTTCTCGTCATGAAACCACATTATCGAAAGCCTCGCGCGAGATTAAAACGTTCCGGACATTGCGTTGTAAAATAGTAGCCGGAACTTTACAAGTTCGTAGACGCGAGATATTCGTACAAGCAGCGATTATTGTGCAACTTTGAGGATACCCTAATCACTTATCTGTTAATATCGTTAAAGTAATTAAATTATCGGTAAGAATTAAGTGTGCACATTAGATATTAAATTAATTTGCAGGTGCCATATTAAATACGCCGTCATATAATGTAAGAGGGAAATAATTGTGAAAAATTTGCGTGTAAATGAAATCTGCGATTACGAGTATGCGAATATATTTTCCGCGGCTGATCCTGCAAGTTTAATGAATTCTGTAAGTGACAGAGTTACGCTGATAGAGTCGTGTCATAAATACCCGCACAATCCTGGCCCTCACGGTCTGTCCGCGGCTCTTGCGCCGCGCGTGCTTGCTTACATCCATCTCGGCGTGTTGAGATAGTCAAATGATGATCAGATAGGACCGAGAGGCCCTTTGAATAAATCCTCAGACCGATAGGAAGGCGGTCCCAAGGGGTTTGCTCGACAGTGCGATAGCCGATAATGGTCTGGTTCAGGCACCGTCCAATTCTCGGGTTAATTACCATCGTTTTAACCTAGCGCGATATCGACGCCATTTCTTAAACCGAATGTAGTCTCGTACATAATTGATTCTACGAGGACAGATACTTTATTTACCCTTCGATATTTTTACTTTACGCTTCGAGTGGAATGCGAAGTTTTAATTGATGCCTCGTATCGGATATCAATTATTATCCTTAACATGTCTCCTCGCTCTCTCTTTCCTCCTACATTTTCAAACGCAAAATACATATTTAATAAGTCGCAGATGCGATTGCAACAACGACCTTCGCCAAAGTTACAATTGACGCGATAAGAAGTTCTTTGTATAAATTATAAGCTTGGGCACAATTTTACGGTTGCGGAAAAGCAGCATATGAACTTTTGAAGTACGCGACTAATACAGGGCTATTTATATCAGGCCGCGAGATAACGGGCTGATTCTAACGTTGCGCGAGGCTTGCGTGAGCGCGACGTTCGAGGGTGTGGGTGGGTTGTTTCCGTTGCTACATCGATATTACTATCTGACGGAGATGATAGCGTAGTGGACTCGCATAACGTGTTTTGCGAGGCGCGATTAAACGACGTGTGTTTTACGGACGACGGTGTATCGTGCGGAAAAATCGTATTGCGTCGCGGCTGATGGATGAATCTCTCTCCTGCGGGGAGAAATTATTCTTCCGTTGTTGACGAAATCTCTCGCAAGTGGCCGGAATTTCGGTCGACGGTTGACGGTTAGCACGACGACGAGACGAGAGCGGGACAAGTGTCGCGGAACCGCGCGCTACCGAAACGTCACGTTTATTTTCACGCAAACGACACGCGGGCACGCGGCTTCGAGGAAACCTGGTCGATTCGCAACTGCGTAAGATTCGTATATGCGAGTATTTCCGGCGTTTGAGCGCGTTCCTCGCGAGTGAAACAACCGCCCCGGTCCTCGTCGCGCGTCATAAAGCTCGCGGCGTAAAAGTTTCGCGAACGCGTGTATATATGCCGGCAATTACGCAGCGAGAACTTTGCATCGCGTTCTAGCTAATTACGCTAACATATCGACTCGCGTCACGTAACGTAATCGCGGTGCGCCGCGAGTACGGCGAGAGATCGCGTATCCATGATCGACCTTAGCCTCGGCGCGCTCTGCGCCAGTTGATGCGGAAGAGCGGCGTAAAACTTTTATTTCGACGGATCTCAACTTCCTGTACTGTGGAAAAAGCTTTTCGTTTTACTCGCGCGACCGCCGATAAGCCGCCCGCCCGCAAGTACGTCGGCTAATATTCCTCTTAAGCGATTACCTCGCCCGAATTCGCGTGCCTCGCCTCGCCTCGCGTCCGACTCTCGATGCCTTTATGATAAAGGAGTACGTAAGAGAGCACGAGGATGTGCTATATACACACACATACAGATATATGTATACACATATGAGCTGTACATCGTAGTAGCGAACCTTCGTAATTAATCTTCGCGAGATAAGGTTCTGTTTTTCTTCGTTACAGGCTGCGCGTTCCTCACCTACTACAGCCGTGACAGCGCAATCAGCGCCCAGAACGCTCTGCATGAGAAGCGGACCTTGCCAGGGGTGAGTGTTTACAACGTTTATCTATTGCACAAGTTTACTTACCTACTTTTCAGCCAATTGTACTCTACTAATGCCACCTCATTCCGTGTCGTGCTCACTTCACTCCCAAGAAATCTTATCTTAGTCTCGCTTAATAAGCGTTCTCACGTTAGTCCGCCATGCTGCATACACGTGTGGCTTGGACGTAATACTGAGCTCTGCAAAGGGACGATATATTTTTCTTAATCGCCAAGTTTTATCTTGGCTATAGCGTATACGTGACATTTCGAATATATCGTAATCGAAGATACGCGCGTTTGGCATCATCGAATACCTTAATTAGCTGTTGGGATCGATGCTGTGCGCGCGTTCGTTTTGCGATGCCGTTGGAGAGGCTCCAAGCTTGCGGGCGAGATTGCAAAACATCGATTTATTCGGTCTCGATTTTTCTGTATACCTCATGGAGCGACCATCGACTCGGGCGACAGACGCTATAATTTTTAATCGAGAAGTAAAAAGCGCCGGACACGAGCGACAGTAACGGATACTTATCGCCGTTGGGTGCCGTATGCCGTCGTATCTCCGACTAATTTCGGCGATTCGCCGTCCGCGATCCGGGATATTAAAATGGCCCGACGTGACGAGTTAATCTCTTAACGCCGAAAGCCCCTTTAGGAGGGAAAGAGACGCGATATAAAGGGAAGGAGCGCGATCGTTTCATGGAGGTGGCACTGACGCGGCGAGTCCGCGATGTATCATCAGACTTTCCGTGCGGAATCCTCTGCGAAATGCCAGGGCCGGATGTACGCGCATTCTTACGCCTCTTTCCCCTTCGGTGAAATTTTGCATTTCTTTTCTTCGCGTATTTACACTCGCCTTGCAACATAATCGCGAAAGTCGCTTCACGAAGATCACGAAGAAGAGGAGCGAGAGGAATAATTCCGCTCGTCGTAATCGAACTGCACGGATGGCGGATTCCTCCATATTTATGACGAGTAATGTCGTAAATAATGCTGGACGTACTCCCCCATTATTCCCCGCCGTTCGAGTCGCTAACTCGGCACAGCTTACCGTCTCGCGCGATGTTAGAGAGTTATGATATCTTCTTCGGACATCCAGGAGATTTTCGCCGGACATTTATCGCGTTCGTAATACGTGATACTCTCTCTCGGCCCCGATATATTAACACACGCTATTCTCTTTCCCAAGAACGCAGGAATTTCGTAGTTTGTCTTAAAAATATCCTTCGCGATATACGATACACGTACTTTCCAGATCTCCTCGCGTGTTGAAAATCTTTTGAGAGGATAACGGCGGGTTGCGCCGAAACTCTCGAAATTTTTCATCGATTGTGGCCCCGAGCTGCGGCATCGCCGGCACTGTGAATGCTGCTTAACTGCCAGAGCGGTGCCAACATGCCCCTTCCCATTATCTGTGTTACCCCTTAGAAGTCCGTAGCGAGTACTGGCGTTATGTTTCGTTAATCTATCCCCGAAACAACGCTGCTACGATCTTGGCACGGCTGCCAGCGGAAATCGTTTTAAATGTTATGCCGAGGGATGCGTTGCCGGGGGTGCAGGCTGAGTTATGACTTTATGAAGAGGCAGACGCACATACGCGCGCAAACGCCGACATTCTTTTTTTTTTATTTTTTTCGCGTGCACGCGGTTTCCGCGTGTTGGCCGCTTGCGAGATATATCTGAAAAAAATCTGCACGTCCGATTCCCGTGATAAATGCGTCGCGGCAAAACCGCTTCGTCCGAAATTGCGCGGTTTAGTTCACAATCCGACGACAGAAATATATATCGTTCTTGTTGTACGCTAACTTAAAATTCTGATCGAATTTTACAATTTCGTATCACAGTATACGCTTGTCTATTGTCCGTCGATTGAAATGATGATGTGTAACATCATCGAAAAGGAGACCTTTTACAAATTTTGACAGATTTCAATTGATTTTCTTTTCGATATAAAAAAGAAATTGTGCGAATTTGCATACATGTACATTTACTTGACAAAATAAAATAAAAAACTTGGGAGTCGTTTAAAAAATAATGCAGATTTTATGATATTTAGCTGCGTAGCGCGTACGTAAACAGCTGCCTGTAATTCTGTTTGTCGGGCTATCGGCAAGTATTCATCCCTCTATCGTATATACACCTGATAAGATAGAATAATATTTAAACAGATGTTCTCTCTCATTCAAGACTCTACAGTTTTCACCTCGAGAGACAAGATAGAATCCCTCAGTTATCGCTATTTCAAATTCATCGCAAGCTTAATCAGGTGCAGGTCTTAACGTAAAGTTGCATAAAGTTATGCAACGCGCTGAGCTATGTATGCATAGGTATGCGTCCGATTAATTATCATTAAAACATTTCGGCCGAGAATGCGACGATTATGCAAATCTTAATCTGGCGCTTACATTCACCGAGGAGGCGGTTTTACAAGCCGTTCCACGAGCACGTCCGGAGCTTTCCTCGAGACAGCGATTTCATTCATTGGGATGTCTCTAAGTCGGACTTCCCGTAAACGCGCCTAAACGTCAGCTTTAATTATGCGTGTGTGCTATGTATATACGTGTGTGCGTGTGTATACGCGCATTTAGGGAGACCCTAGGTTTACCGATCGGTCCTACCCTGAATCGTAATATCCGAATACACCTGAGGCCATAACTCGGTCGAGCAACGGACCCTTCATAAACACGGATCCCAAAGCCGAGAGCGGTGCTGCTGCGCAAGCAATAACAATGCCGTTGGCCAGCACCGTCTATACTTAGCTCGCGCTCACTGCGGAAGCGATCATTGCACGTGCGCAGGCGTGCCTGTTCACGTGCACGCGAGAAACGACGACAGAAAGTATTCGGGCAGCCCCGCTTCCGGTCGTTTCCGTAATACTTTACGCGCGGCTTGACGTGGCGTGTCAAACTTGTTGCTATACATACGTCCGATGATTCAGATCCCTTCCTTGAACGCTATATTTAATAGGCGCATACACAACGCACGCACATTTTATTTTATTTCAACTTTACGACAGCTCAGCGTCGATACTTTTTAATAAAATATATGGAACGTTGTTGGATATAAAATAAGTATTAAATTACTCGCGGTATGATTGGAATTAAATATTGAAGGGTGGCCAAAATTGTCTCTCGCCGAGAGAGGGAGATGATCGATGTGCCGCAAAACATTGGATAATTTTAAATGGATTTTGCAATAATCTATCTCTGAATTTATATATCCATTTCTTATCTCGTATATATTTTTTTCCCTCGACCTCATTTGTGTACCGCGCTAAATCCGCAGTAATCTTCGAATCTTTTCGCTGCGATTAAAGCCTTCCAGATTTAATTCTTGTTTATTTGCTTTAGCTCGTAAGCCACGCTTGAATCTTCAGCCGTCGTGTTGGTCTAGGCATTCTCAACATTAACAGATCGCCAGATGTTCGCTGGCGAACGACAAGAAAATTCGTATCCAAGTTGATGCTCGTAGAAAGGAATTCAATCCGCTCGTGAATGTTAATCTCAAAAATGTGACGATATTCGCGAGAATAGAAACGACAAACTGTTTGCGAAAGAAAATTGAAATGCGAATAAATTGATACATATATCACAAGATTCGTGTCAAATGAAAATGTAATTTCGAGAATCGCTTCGAGTCGTGGTGCATATACGAATAATAATATTTCGTCTTGCATGTAAACGTTTGGCAACGATCCCCTATGAGAATTGAAAAAATGCATTAAAGCTCAGGCACGCTCGTGTACTTCTCCGACTGCTCGAGGCGTTCGTTTCCCGTGTCGAAATCATGAAAACGAGAGAGAGAGAGAGAGTTTAAGTAGAGAGGACGTCGAGGTGACGCGCGATAAGGAACGCTGAAATTCAGACGGACGAATTGCGGACGTGACAAATTGGCGGGCCGATTTACGACGGTGTAATTGGCGGTGTCGCGCCATGGGGTTTGCAAACCGAAGGAAAGAAACGTGGGCGCGAGGAGGGACCGGGGGTGAAAGAGCGGAGTCGGCGCGAATTTGCATAAGGCGGGCGATACTCGCGCGTGCACAAAGCCCCGACGCGGGGAAAAAGTAGGAAAATGGGCGGTGGGTGCGCTCGTGAACGCGAAGGCCCAAAGAAAAGAAGAACGGAGCTGTCCGAAGCCGAGCATTGTTTGCATTTCCTCGTATAACGAAGTTTTTGCAACTACAACGCGCACCTGCGCCGCTTTTGTATTGAATGACGTTTCGACGATTTCAGTCACTCCGAGCGTCCACTATGCATAATTCACTGCCTGCGAGTGGTACGGCAATAAAAATGGCCGTTTTTCGCGGTCTCATCGTTATCTTGCTTTTTGTCCGGCTGAAGATTATACACTGTTGCGATAATTTTCACGTCTCGTACGCGTACTTTTTATAAGCCGCGTATCTTTCTTGTTTTTAATAATAATTTCGTCTTTCCGGTAAAAGGAGCTTTACATCTCGCTGATAAAATATTAAAAGTAGTCGTTATGTGGTGCCTTTTATATACAATGCAAAGTGTCGTAAGAGCGTTATATAATTATCATACGACGATCGTGTAGCAAGATGACGTCTGAAGCAAGGTCTCCGTCGCCTACCATCAAACAATTACGAGGATCTGGCTGCGCATCGAGGCGACGAGGGTCGTTTTCGCGAGGAAAAGATATCAAGAGGAGAGAAGACGAGTAAAGAAAATAGACGAAGACGGAGGACGCCGAGGAGGGATAGAATAGAAATGGTAGGGGATTGGAAGCCGAGGGGGGAGTCACTCTCGCGAGGAGAGAAGCAAGCCGAGTGGCGACGCCTCAGTGACCGAGCTTACTCTCCCTTGTGCTTTCGTTCGCAAGCGTAGCCTGCCGGAGAGAGATTCTCGTTTTCCCTCGTATTATACACGCAAACATTCACATTTGCAACGTGCATGAACACACACGTACATATATATGCCCGCGTTTCCCTCCGTCTACTTTCTCTGTCCATGTATCGCGCACACAGAGCCGTCCGTTTTCCAC